AGAGAGAGAGACAGAGAGAGAGAGACAGAGAGAGAGAGACAGAGAGAGAGACAGAGAGAGAGAAAGACAGAGAGAGAGAGACAGAGAGAGAGACAGAGAGAGAGAAAGACAGAGACAAAGAGACGAGTGATCTAGTTCTTTATGCTTCCCTCTTCTCTCACTGTAATATCTCGGGGAAGAAAGTTGCAAAAGAGAAAGACTCAGAGAAGTCTCCCCTAGTTCCGGAGGAGTCCTGCTTCTCGTAAAACCTTAGATAAATCCATGCAATGACGATACCATTGAAGGATAAAAGAGAATGAGTGAAAGAGACAAGTTTAAATATAGCAAGGAGAAGAGCAATGAATGTCACCAGTAGTGGTAGATGCTAGAGGGAGAGAAGGAGAGAGAGAGGAGAGAGGGGGAGAGAAAGAGAGAGAGGGAGGGTGAGAAAGAGAGAGAGAGAGGGAGGGAGAGGAGAGAAAGAGAAAGAGAGAGGGGGGGAGAGAAAGAGAGAGAGGGAGGGTGAGAAAGAGAGAGAGGGGGGAGAAAAAAAGGAGAGAGAGGGGAAAGCTAGTAAAAAGTTTAAATACACAGGCACAGAGACACTCCAGCAGTCTTCCTTTAGAAATTCCATTCACTAATAATTCCAGTGTATAAATCTTCCCCAAAATACCCACTTGAAATAACAAATGGTAAACAATTCCAATGGACATAAACAGAGATGTACAAACAATGAGTAATATATGAATACTGCTACTTAATTTGGGACTCCTTGAAAATAATTATTGTTATCATTCACTAAAGGAATTTACCAAAATACACTACCACTACCACTTCCACTTGTTGACTGTTATAACTATCATAACAATAATGATAATTTTTATTTAGAAAAATTTTAATGGCAGAGTCATCAAAATTTTGCACACTCAGTACATTCAAGTGAACAAATGAATTTTTAATGAATTTTAAAGCCACTAAAAATTCCTAGAAATCAATTAAGTCAGAATCAGCTCAAACTTCCTCCATAACAGCATATACATCTGTGAAATGTGTGCATGTACATTTATCAGGAAATTCAGAACTGTCCCCTACACACTTTTTGAAGTATAGCATACTATGTACAAGTACATGTACTATAGTACAGGGACTTTGGCCTGAGTTTTGAGCAACTTTAAAAATTCATAAAAAATCCAATTTTGATCGGAATCAGCTCAAACTTTCTACACAACATAAAAACATGTATATGCATCAGAAAATATTATAAAAGTTGAGAATTCTCTACTTAACATTTTTAGCAAAATTTGGCCAACGCCCCTGTACTATAGTACAGAGACTTTGACCCAATTTTTGGGCCTAGGGACGTCCCCATGTAGAGGTTAATCGAGTCTTTTGTGAGTTGGGATATGTGGATGTCGCTGAAACCAGGGATATAATAGACTAACGTAACCGGGATTGGCAACGGGATCACGTGAGCGCATCATTTGTGTATAAAAACTTTTTGCAGTCTCTGTTATGATTTTCAAGATGGCGACTGTCAATGCCTGGAGTATGGAGTTGCTCTTTTCTCTTTTAAAAATGTATTTAGCTTTATGAAAAATCTACTGCAAAGTTATAATGGTGGATTCAAGATTCTGATAGGTTATTGTAAGTTAATATTTGTTTTAAATTGTTTAAATCTTTAATTTACGGCTAAAATGCCATTTGCGTACCTCTGTAGCCCAAATATTTGTTTCTATGAATGTGTTTTTGTCATGAAATGTTGCTACTTACTTTATTACATTGTTTAGGCAACTTCTCTTGTTTCTCCAGAGTGTTCTTCAGGAAATAGTCAAGAAAAAACAGTTTGCCATGGCACGACTTTTGCGTACCTCTCAGGAGAATAGACTACATTCTATTGCTATGAAACTACAATAAAGAGACCCTTTACATGTTTTTACATTGTTTAAAGTTGTTTTTGAATTTTTCTTGTCGCTGGTTTTTTAGTTATAACAATTTATATTCAGCCATTTTGCTAAGATGCCATTGATTGCTGCCATTAATTTAATGAATAATAACAGAGTCTGATAATTGATTTCCGGTCCGTAACCAATCCCGGTTACGTTAGTCTATTATATCCCTGCTGAAACTCATTATGTTGTCTAAAAGGAGAAGTACATGTACAATAAACATT